AAGGTGATGACGGCGGCTTCGGTGCCGCACAAGTTGCAGAGCTCGCCGGTCTTCTTGAAGAGGCCATCTGTGGAAAGGAAGAGAGTGGGGAAGAGAGTGGGTATAATAGTCATATAAAATATTTAAATAATAAATTTGTCCTTTATGTAAGACTTTATAATTATGAGGGGGTTTAGAAAATATAATTTTTTTCTTAGTGCTTTTAACAATGAAAGGAAGGTAAAGGAGGTTTATAGCCAAATTTCCCTACTAATAACAACCCTCTAATTTTTTCAATGACCCAATACGAGCCCGCACAAACCCATATATATTACCCAATTATAACCCGCTTGATAAACAAGCGCGTTTAAATCCATAAATTACTGAGGGGCGTGGGTAGATTCAAAGATGCGGGTCAAAATTGCCACTCTAATCAAAATTTTGCCGACCCACATACGGTGACAGAACAGGAAGGTCCAGGCTTCTATTTGGAACACCCAAGAAAAAAACCTTTATTTGTACACAAATATTAATGTGCTTCTCTTGGATTTTCTTATGCGTGTGTATATACATGGAGATAGAATTATGTATCAACTAACCTTTTATCATTAACTGAGTAAAATACAATACCCTTTCCTTGTGTGGTTGTCAGTGATTACGTTGTATGATACACAGTATAAGAGCCAATAGACCAACAGGGACTAATCGAGTATGTCAACTTTGTATATTATTAAGTGGTCATGAACTAGTATAACTCTTTTGGTCTTCCACATGCTTTACTTGAGGATGTCTAACCACTTTTTTTTATCACATGAAACGTAAGTTAAGCAATTTTCAGCCAAAAAGATAAACAAATAAATAAATCAAACACGGGCTTCACTTGCAATATATATTCCTATTTCGAAAGTAATAATAACCTTCCAGCCATATTCACAGGGGCATTCGTGATGTATCAAACAGCATATACAGTGGAAGCCAGACCAGCCCACAAAAGGGAAGGTAATAATTCTACCCCCGAATAGCGTTCAACTTGAAGCCAGACTGCAAAGCCTTGTGCAGCTCATCCATGATAGAAAAGCCACATAATGCCGCCGATCTACCAAAAGACAAACAATCTTCGGGTAGCAATGATCTGAAAAAATCACTGTCATTGAAGCTTGCAAAATCACACTCATCCCTCTATCTTAAATCTGGGGAGAGGGAAGATTGCAAAAGGCAAAAATAAGCACAGGAAGTCAATTGAATAAAACTCCATTTACAGATATATATATATATATATATATATATATATATATATATATTATATAAATATCTAAACATTTGTGTATATCATATAAACAATGAATGGATATTTGATTCTTACGTTTCAAGAGGTAATCATCCCATTTCTTCTCGTCGAAGAACAAAGAACTGCAATCATCCTGTGCAGCCTTTAAGAGAAATAAAATAATAATTATGGAAAAGTCACTCATAATTGACATAATAGCAAGCACAAGACCCCATGTTGCCAAGCAAAATATGCTGGAAAAAAGTAACACGGATAACTAACCAATATTTGTGTGCCAGTGGACATTTCCGTTTTGGTCAGTTATCCATAACAATGAAGATGGGAAGACCTAACAAAAAGGATACCCAAATAAATATAGACCTTACCATCTTTTGCTTTCCATAGAAGATTGCCAGAACCAAGTGCTCAAGTCCAACATTCTTATCACCTGCGAAATATATGCTCAGGTGTGAGGGGGGAACATGAATATGCATAAACCTACTGCATCCACCAACTGGACAAATCCAGTTTCCTCAACCGAACCCAAAGCAACGTTAAGGCTGAACTAGCAATTTAATGCCTTAAATATTTCCAGAACAGCCCAACTTACCTCCATTTTAAAATAAAAAGATTCATAATATCCAGCGGCAATATAAATTTATAACGAGTAAATTCAATAGGATGTTGAGGACATTACAAAAATAGAAATCTAACCAAGAATGGTAGCTGCATCGCGCGATAACTTGTAAATGCTAAACGATGAGAGCTTCAAAGCTAATTGACCCGTATAATCTAGCACTCTACCATGGAGCATCATCTCAACACATCTACGAACACTTGAAAGTGAAAGGCCAAACAAAAGATGCTTTACACTGATGAAACGATCACCTTGCATTCTTCTCTCATGGTCAGCAATTTTAATCACTTCAATGAACTCATCTGTAAAAGGTCCAAAGCAACCATCTGATAAAGGAAAAATTACAGCTTCCTGGAAGTACAGCAACTGTAAAAAAACAAAAAATCAGAAAACAAAAAACACAAAACAAAACAAACGACATCATGAAAGGAGACATAAAATAGAAACCATAGAGAGAGCATTGCGAATGGGATTCAAGGCAACGCGATCCAATTACCAATTTCATGTACACATTCTTACCAACAAAAATTACATGACCAAACAATGCAAGATAGGGCTGTCAAACAAAAACTGACTAATCCGTAAACCAGTCTGAACTGGTTTTTTCTTTCAAAAACCAGTCCCCTGTCCAGGTCCAATTTATTTTTATTTTTTATAAACGTATTAAATCATTTAGACATGCGGTTTATTGCTCCCAGATTGGTGTGCAGTTCCTGGTTTTCCCCAAAATCGAACCAAACTAATCCATGTACACCCCTAATGCAAGAAGCTAAGGAATTCGATGAGACCAACAAACTGAAAACAGCCGAAATGAAGGCAGGAAAAATGATTGATCAAAAGTACACCACAAAAATATATGAACCACTTGAACATGCAGGGCATAGAACACATAAAATTAGGAAAACCTATGAAACAAGAAGAACTAGTTTGTGGAGCTAGTGATAGGGGACGAGAACAAATTTTGTTGAAGCATAAACTGAAGATTAATTCAACAGGAACTTTATTTAGGAATTTGTATTCTATTTTTGCTTTTGTTCCCTTGCTGGTAGGGGTGAGAATTTGACATCCAACCCGTTAACACAACTCAAAATTTACACATAATTAGAGAGTTAGGGTTGGTCATTTATTTGACACAAACACAAACATTACACGACACGACAACACGAATATTAAATTGGTTGATTTAGGGTTGAACACGTGTAGACTGAGCAGGATCCATACAATAATTCATGTCAGCATGTGGACATGAAGGAACCCACTATAAACCCAAACGCAACCTGTAGTAGCCATAGAATTTCAAATGTTTTATTCTTAGCCATTGAATTATATTTTGGTAAGGGAATATAACTTGTTTTAGCAGTTTTGGTAGATGTTTGGATATTACTGTGCGACAATCTATTAAGCACTGACACTTCAAAACAAGTGTCATAGAGGTATTGAACACAGGGACACGTATGGGACACGCCATCCGGTGTGCCAGTTTATTTAATTAATTTTTTTCAAGGGACACGTCGGGGCCACATCAAGGACACTTCGGATTATTTGTAAAATATCGAATTACTTGTTTGTGGATGTAGAATTAATTTACGTAGTAAATAAAATATAATATATCGTCATGTCCACGCTGTGTCCGTATCCGCATTTAAACGCAAAGTACCTAAAGGTAATACAAAAATTCCATCACCTTCATTAAAACAGTTACAACTATCATTACCATACGGGAGGTCGATAAAAGTTCCTCAAACTGCATCATTACTCGGGGAAAATCAATATAATTTACCCAAATAACAACTCTATTCATTTTCACTTTAAAAATAAATTTTTATTTTATTTTCGTATAAGAAATCATTTCACACATTCTATAAATGAGAAAAGAAGTGAGAACAAAAAGTCCAACATCAATTTTAGAAAGTCATCTAAATAAATTTTCAAAAATTGTTCCTAAAATTAAGAATTCCATGCTTGCGTAAGCAAAAAACATGTATAACCCCAACTGTGCAAAGTTAGTCCAGTTATACAAACAATTTTAAAAATAATAATAGCAGAAGTTAGGATGTGTGTTATACACATGTCAAGAAGTGTCCAACATGAACATGCCAAAATCTTAATAGTGTATGTGCAACTTAGGAACTCAAGAAAGGCCATTTCAAATATGGAACAGAAAACCACCAAAAAAAAAGAGTATAAAGAGAGAAAAATGCATAAAACAAGCACTTTGATTCATCCATTTACATAAAGTTGTAACATTTCCACACACACAAGACAAATTAAGTGAAAGGGGGTGGGCGGAAAGAGCAGAGAGAGGGTGATACCGCTGATGCTTTCATAGCAGCCAATTCATAGAGCCCAACGAATAAGCCATCAGCTAAAACTGAGCATGCAAAAGTAACATCCTCAGCGAGAAACACATCATCTGCTGTATTAGGTAAACAATTACGTAGCAATTGAATGTCAACGCCCCCCAAAGCCTCTAAAACCAAAGAATCAAGAATACGATAACTTTTCTCAGTTGTCAACTCCAAGGTAAGCTGCATTTTACAATCTTCCTGGTTTTCAATGGACAACATATCAGACATATGATTAAAATTGATCACTTAAATTTTAAGAAAGTAAAAATAATATAGAACCTTACCAAAAAAATAAAAAAACTGATAAAGAAACCAAAGCGAAACAAAAAAATGTGCTCCAACTACTAAATTAACAAACAAGGAGTGTTTAGAACACGCCGTGCTGAAGCTGCAACTCATGTCAGCAGAAGATTTGGACAGCAGCACTAGATTCTATAGAATAGAACTTGAAGTACTAATTATGATGTTAATTTAGCGTAACTCTTTTGAATGTTAAGAAATATTACTCTAAAAAGAGGACAAACAATAGTGACAAATTTCTAAGAGTTCAACAAAGAAGTCAAGAACACAAAAACTGCCAAGTTCATACCTTCAGAGGCTCATAATTCCTAAGCATCTCCAATGCAATTGCTACTTCGTTTGGGCTAATATCATTCCACTACATCCATAAAATTAACAATCAACTTAGCAAGATTCAGTAAATTATGTATGGAAATAAGTTAATATAACCATGTGAAATAATCCTGTCTAGAATAATTGAACAAGATTATACACACTGGAGAAAATAATACCTCAGGACCAAAAATAGGAAAAACCCATGGACGAAGAACCTATAACAAAAAGTATGAACAAAAAATTAAACTTCCTAAAAACAATTTATATCTGAAAAATAAATAGACAAATGAAGAAAAATAGGAAAAAAAAATAAAGAAAGTCATACAGGCAGTCATGACTACCAAGGTACTTACAACAAAGGAAAGACAACAGCCAAAAAAAAATATCTTTGTCCACAAAAGGGTGAAATAAATCTCAATTTCAGTCCCGATTCTTAGGAAGTTAGCTGATGCAATCCACAAGAAGAGCAAGAAAGAGTTTAAGAAGAGGCAATATTTGGAAATTGCCATGGATTCAAGTTTTTTTTTACTAAAGTCTTATTTTCTGTTTGTTTAGAGTTTTTAGGTCATGGGTATTTTGGTAATTTTCATATTTGCTATCATGGGCTGTAGGGGTCGCCCATGGGTCGTCATGTGGGTCAAGTTAATAAATTAATTTTTAGTTATGTTTCTTATTTGGTCTTAAATAGGTTTTGAAAGTCAAAGTTTTAGTCGTTTACTTTTTTTGTTCTAGTTGGTCTAGGAAATCTTCGAATTTTATATATGTAATGCTTTTGATTCAATGGAATTGATATTTTAGGCTCCGTTTTTGTTTAGAAAGAAACGAATGATAGAAAATGAAAATGGTAAAAAGTGAAGTGAAAGAGAGGGAAAAAAATGAAATTTTATTTTCTTGCATGCATTTGAATAGATAAAAAAAAAAAAATTGCAAGAAAAGGATGGAAACAAATGTAATCACCGCATAACAGGGGGTTGTTAAGAGAAGTATGGACAAAGAGGGAAACAGAATACTCTTCGTCAAGTTTTGTGGGAAAATGTATATTTTGCAAAAAAAAATTGTAAGCTTAACTAACAAGCTAATTTGAGTTGTACAGGAAACTTAGTTTCCATTACTTTCGAGAACTCTTTATCTAAAGAAACACACAAAATTATTTTTCTCTTTTTTCTTTGACTTTCATGTATTCTGTGTCTAACCTAATTGGGCCTTAGAGAATTTTAACAACTTTGAAGCTTTCTTATGGATTATGTAATGCAATCAAACCTTAAGTGTGATGCCTAAGGCCTCAATGAGTGATTCCTAGGAACTATCTTCTCCTTTCTCTCATTTATTTTCTGCACTTCAACAGCCCAAATACTGTTTCATGGGTACCTGTTCACAGCCCTAAAACAGCCCCAAAAAATCTCATCTTTTCATGCTTAAACTCTTACCATTTATTATACCCTAAACAAACCCTACCTGTCCGTACTCTTATTGCAATTTCAGCTATAACACCCAATTAAAATCAGCCCCAAAGCTAACTGTTGTTGCTATCTGTACTTCTAAATTGGTAAATTAAACTTTGCCCCCTTAAGTTTGACCGTTTTCCCACTTTGGCCGGCCCTATGGTTTTTTTTTTCACTTTGGCCCTTCACGTTTCAAAATTTTCCCAATTTACTCCTGAAGCTAACTTCCTTCCAAATTCAGGCGGAAACTGTCACGTGGGGCCACAAATACACAAGTTAGATCCAAAACCTCAAACCCAAAACCCAACCCCAGCCCACCCAACCTTCCAAACCCACAGCTCCCCACTAAATAGCCTCCCACCATCTCCCCCTTAGCATCTGAACCCTCCACCGCCCCAACCTCAATCTCTCCCTTCTGTCCCCAACCACCAACAACATCGAAATCAAGGCTAACACCACCAGATCTACAGCCATAGCAATCACCATTAACACCGCGCACTGCCCATAACCTCCATCCTCATCTCTGTCTTTAAATTGCAGTGACGAACAGTGAGATCAGCAAGTAACTCTAACATAAAGACCTGCAACCACATCGAGATCGAGATAGGGGAGGGGTTGGAGGTTAAAGAACAGAAAGAGTGATAGGGCAATAGACGTTAAGGGAGGTGGAGTAAGGAATGGTGGCAGTGGAAGCAAGGGTGGTTAGGAACAATTTCCAACTTCAACCTGAATTCTCAGCTCATTAGTGCATACAAAAGAATGAAAAGAATTATTTGGCTTTTCCCATACTAGCATATCACCCGTGCTATGCATGGATTGTATTTACAATTATCTATATATGTGAATTGTGATTTTTAAATGTCTTTTTTCTTTTTTTTTTAAATGTCTTCTTTTTTTTCTTTTTTATATTATATTAAAGTTTAATATTTTGATAATAATCATATATGTTAGACTTTTCAAGGAATTAAATGTCTTTTTTTTTATTATATTATATTAAAGTTTAATATTTTGATAATAATCATATGTATTGGACTTTTCAAGAAAAAAAATTTATACTTGTTTTTTATGCATTAAAATGCTATTATGAGGGATAATAATCATATGTGTTGGGACTTTTCAAGGAATTCATGTGTTGGATTTCAAATAATTTTTTTTATGCTTATTCTTAATGCACTAAAGTGTTATTATGAGGGTAAGACTTAGGGGTTGGGAGAAATTAATAAATGCTAAGGTTTTTTTTTTTTTTTAAATCAAAAAATCAGGAAATTTAGATTGGGAGATTGGAGCTCTCACAAGGCTTGGGGTTAAAAACCCCCTTTTGCTTTATATATAGTATAGATGTATATATAATAGATTCATGATACAATTTAAAAAATGATATAAATAAGAAATAATACCAAATTAATGATTGACACAATCACGGATTATATACATAGGCGGTTTTTGGGAAGGAGATTGAGAGGCTATTTTAGCCTCATTCAAATAGCCAAAAAGTTGTACTGTAGCTAAGTTTTTTCTTTTTTAATCAAAAACTGACGCAGACAAATTCATGACTGTGTAGAGCAGATTTGAAATTACGTTTTTGCCCTTTTAATTTTTGACTAACCCACCAACTTAGCATTTCAACACAGGGGCAATTTAGTCATTTCATATCCCAACAAATCAATCATCACGTCAGGCATAACTTTTTGGGAATAATTTAATTATTTTTTATCTCAATATCATTTCAAACACATTTTTCAATACAACAATCAAACAAAAAATTCAATCCATCTTCCCAAACACAAAAACTAAAATAGCATACTAAAATAGCCAAAAAGCCTAAAAGATAGCCACTTCCCAAACACCCACATAATACTAAAAATAAAAAGATTCTATGTACTCTAATTTCTATATTCAACACTCCCCCTCAAGCTGGTGTGAAGATATTCAACAATCGCAGCTTGCCAATGGATGAATGGAAGAAGCCGGAAAAAACTCAACAGCTAGTCTAAATAAATGCTACCGAACAAATCTGGTAGTCCACTAAATAAAAAAAAAAAAGTCAAAGTGCTTAATACATCAATAACACACCCTAAAAAGCCCTAAAAAGGGGGGGGGGGGGAAGAACTGCCCTAGAAAAAGCTGACCAAAATCAATGTTGGAACAGTTTAAAGAGGTCATGTCGGACCATTGTAGGAACTGACCGGAATCAATGTCGGGACAGTTTAAGAGGTCATGTCGGACCGTTGTAGAGACTAACTGGATGTTGAACTAGCAAGTATGATACATACGTAACTTATGATGTGGTGCTAAACGATGATGGCAATAGATGACTTTGTGCGCCAAGGGGCGGCTTATTAGAAAACACACCAGGGGGCGGCTTAGGTGGTGCACCAAGGGAGTAACGTGGGTTGTGTGCCAGAGGGGGTGACTTGGATTGTGCGTCAGATAGGGCGCCTTAGGTGGTTCACATGGTATATCACCATGCTCACCATGATATAGGTATAATACCCCTCCTCAAACTCAAATAGGTTTGAAGATGGAAACCTATTTGAGGTTGAAATAGAAGGAAAGACAGTGAAACAGATACACACCAGAAAATGGATTGCAAGTAAAAAAAAATATGATTGAGATATTTGAGATAGGAATAAACCAGTGGATAAAGGAAGAGATCACCACGAAGTGATACTGAAAGAAAATATGGCAATGGAATGGGTTGAGATCTGGCGAGCAGCCAAGGCAAGGCTGTCGCCTGCTGGTGAAACAAAATTACTAGGTACTCGACCTAGCTCTGGCACCAAATGCTACCTGAGACCAAATTCCCAATTTGATAGTATCTAAATGCCGTCGAAACAAGCCTCAAGAAAATTTATAATAAATTGATGGTATGCTTATCTAGTTTCCATAGGGTTAGGGAGATACTATAAAATATTAAATCCAAACAATGCATTAAAAATTGGCTTGACAACTATCACACTTCAAAAATATCTTAGAAGTCAATCAACCAGCAGAACCAAAATGAATTACCACAATGAATATTCAAGAATGCATTTATTTCACAACCTAGAAAACAAAATAAAATAAAATAAAAAATTACCTCGACTTCTTTTTTGGCACTACATGGATATAGCTGCATCAAGACAAATATTTAAATGAGAAACATACAAACTAACAATAATTATTAAAGCCAGAGCAATTGCTAGGAATGAGGAAGAAAGATTCTTACTTGTGTTCTGTCATCATAAATATCATGTTCCCGCAGTTTGGAAAATTGATTAGCTTTCACCTTTCTTTCGGCACTACATTTATGTTGCTGCATAAAGACAATATTGACTTTTTTTTTTTTCATAATAAACAACAATGAAATATTTCTAAACTTAAATATTATAAGTCCATTTGGATAAATATGAATTTTAAATTAAGGGATTTAAGGTTAAATTTTATAAAAATATTGGAGAATAACTATTATAAGTAGATTGGAAAATTATAAAAGAAAATAAGTCGAAATAGAAATGATATATTTATAGGAAAATTCTATAAAAACTTATTGCAAAAAAGTGTGTATTGCATGTCGCAGTTACGATCTTTATAGTCTTTGTTTATGACACATTATGGTATTAATTATGACTCATTGTAGTATTGGTTATAACTTAGTTATAATTTCTTGTGACTGTTATTTTGGTTATGACTCATTGTGATGTTAGTTATGACCTATTGAGATTATTTTTAGGTTATGACCGAAGATGTGGTGTTTGGTTATTATTTATTATGGTCCTTTTAGTTATAACCAAAAATGATTTAGTTCTAACACTTTATGGTATTAACACCACGAAATATCATAACTTGTATACGATATACCCTTTTGTGGAGTGTATGCTAGAAGGACTCATGTTAGTAGAATCTTTGTAATTAGAAAGAAAATCCTTAATAGAAGGGACATCATCACCATTTTAAGGAGGGCACTGTTACAATTTTATGAAGGATATATATAATTTATATATGTTAGGGTACTAACAGAATTATCAAAAATCCGTGGGAAGAAATATTCTTACCCCTGTTCCTACTGTAGATCCGTCCCTGATACATTAACAATTATTAAAGCCAAAGCAATTGCTAGGAATGAAAAAGAAAGATTCTTACCCGTATAGTGTCACAAAGATCATGTTCCCTTAGCGTGGAAAATTGATCAACTTTCACCTTCCCCTCAGCAATAGCTACAAGAGGATCACATTTACACTGCACATGGAAAAAGGTGTTTCACATATGAGAAAAAGAGAACAGGTAAACAACCAGAAAAGAAAAAAATTTCTTGTATATAAAAATTCTTACAGAGTCAAGAATTTCACATAATTTTGAGTACTCATCCTCAACCACACTCTGATCAAATATTCTCTCAAAATCTTCCTGGAATATAAAAGTAAATGAAAATGAGAGCAATGGAACCAACATTCCTTAACAATTCACTAGGGGTGAGCATGGTCCGGATTGAACCGGATTGGGGTAAAACCAAGTGCAATCCGTTATTTACGGTTCCTGAAAAATTGGAACCAATCCAATCCGTTTAAATCATTGAACCAATCCAAACCAATCCATTTAAATACGGATTGGATCGGTTTAAGACCACGGATTCACATAATTAAATAACAAAAATATATATATATATATAACACTTTAATTTCATAAAAATATAAATATAGCGTTATATTAGTTCCACACTAGCAACATGTTTTTCTACAATAGCGACATACTATTCTAGAATTTAAACAACCCTAAGAAAACTGGTTTCACCATAAGTATTTAGACCATTACAAATTAAAATTAAAAACTATCAAACAAAAATAATAAAAGAAGATATTATACAGTTTTAGGTTTGAGTTTAGACTTTATATAAAATAAGAGAAGATACTATGAGGGAGGATGTATAATAAAAATATAGACTATTTGTATACGGTCCGGATCGGTTCTAATCCGGAACCGTAGGGTTCAATCCGAAACTAATCCGTGGACTACGGATTTTTAATTCTTCAATCCGAAACCGAACCACGGATTCAAAAAATCAATCCAAACCTATCGGATTGGACTGGACTGAATCGGATTACGGATTCCTTGCTCAGCCCTACAATTCACCCTATAAACACTTGTGTAAATTCAAACATATTATGAGAAACACCACAGCTATAACAAAAAAACAAAAATTATGTTAATTAAATATATCATAAGAAGATACATCAATAATGACACAAGACAAAAGTGATACATTTACAACAGCAAAATCACATACGGGCAACCGCCAATGTGTATCATTTTATATATTCAATGTAAGTGCACTATGAAAGAGACCTTCCAAACCAACCCTCTTCTATATATAGGAATCATGAATCATTGTAATATACATCAATATATCAATCAATAATAATACATACAATTTATTCTCTCTCTTTCTCTATACATTATTTCTTACAAATGATAACAAGAAAAATAGTTCAAATAAAAACAAGACAAGACGCACATCATGAAATGATCAAGAACAATATAATTTATTGACCTAAGAAGCACTTGTGTGAGAATCAAGTAGCCGTCAACTAGTTCAAACTACAAAACTCGCCTTTTAAAAAGTAAAGCAATATAAAATTAAAAAAAGGATAAGATGAACACTAAAGCAATTGTGAGGGTTCCATGATTCATATAGTCCCTAACCCATCAAAACAAAAGGAACACCAATATATAAGATGAACACTACTTGAGCAAAAATGATTTGATATTTAAAATCCTTGCGTTAGTCAATTGACAATGGACACAACACTACCATTCTTAACCCACCATAGTAGCACAATGGAGAATCACATATAACTACTTCACTATTTTCATTCGGCACACATCAAGTTAAAATGACTCATCCACTCTGAATTCCTATCAGCACTGATTCATAATCAAGCTCGGCCATATCCACCTAGTGAAATTTAGATCTAGTCATCTAAATCTTACTTGACAAACATATAATGAATCACCATCAAATCCATGAGTTGTTCAAACACAACAAAATAGAAATCTAATGTACCTACATTAAATGTTGAACAAAACATCAAATAATTTTTTTAGTTACACGAGACTAAAGCAAATATTAAACCACAGAAAATTGATGAAAGCTCTGCGAGACTACTACCAAAAACAATATCCACAAAAAATTGGCCACAGGCACATTAAGGCAGAATTTAGAATTAACCATATCAAAAACACTCAAGACAAACTTAACAATACTTTTAAACACACTTTCACCAACAGTATTGTAATCCTTGTCTTTGATTAGCTCCTTGAAGGAACAGAACATAACATAACACATCGCTCCATGCGCTAATACCGCAATAGCCTTACCAATCTTGATGTATTGTTCTTCTCTGATTGGCCCAGACCACGAGGCATCATGGACTACCTAAAAATATAAATTTGGTAAAATTCAGGGATTGATGGGCAATGCACAATAAGTGAAGTAAAAACGAAAAAAAAAAGGGTTGAATATATCTTTAGATAAATCAAAAGTAATATCATTCCATATTTTTATACTTCAATTTCCACACCTACCAATGCAGGTTTTAGTGTTGGACAAAAGGGACTTAAGGCAAACAAAGACACAACATCAGTTAACATCCTTTTGGTACAAATTAACCATTATTATGTTAATTTTTAATGGACACGCAGCACAAATCACCCAAAATTACATGTTTTGGCTAAAGCTAGTGTGCTTAATAAACTATGCCCATTTGCCCTTTTGCAAAGGCAATTTCTGAGAATGGATCATGAAAATTATGCTGGCCTTGATAATCAATCTAGTGTTCAAATAATGTTTTCCAAAGCGCAATTAGTTATCAAAAGTGATTATCAACCAAGATGGTTGTGCTGCAATGAAAGTAATAATAATAATTAAATCACCTTATGACAATACATACATACACGCCAGGGGACATCATGATTTAGCATTTCGTAATGTCAAGATGAAAAAAGAGGGTAAGAAATGAAACCATAATATGCTCTAGGATCATACATTAAACAGAAAATAAATTTCTTATTCATCAATGTTTCATAATATGCCCCATAATCACACAATCAATAGACCATAAAGTTTCTCATCAAAATAAAAATTAAAGAAAAAAAAAAGATTCATATTCCTTGAATACAATAGAATTCAAAACAAACAAAAAATTTCCATTACTACCAAAACCAAATTTTCCATTCTCTGTGTCGACCCATGTTACTTGGATCGTTATGCTATATGGAATGGGAACTAAAACAAGAACATAAAACACCACATGCACTAAAATGTGAAACGATAGGGGTAGACTTGTATAAATTACAATATTAAAATTTAAGGTACTCCAAGAGCAATTTACTTTCAAAGATTAGACATCCAATAAAAAAAATAGTACATTTTTTTCAATTGATCATGAAAAAGCACATTTTCATAAGCATTATGAGCATTTTTTCCCATTTTGTCCTTCCAAAACTACAATCCTCCTTAGATTTTAGTTCATTATATTTAATTTTTCCCCTAAGAAAAACGAAGGAAAAAATTTTTGGAATCACTTTGGATAGATAATTAATTGCTTTGGAACAAAAGTGTACCATATTTCAAAATGTGCATCCAAAATGTATTAGCAGTTCTAGTAACACTTGGTCAAGATTATATTTCTTATTAGGCTTGTCCTTCCTAAAATGCTCTAGTAGCAATTAAAAAATTCAAAAACTCCATGAATAAAAAAAGTACGTCGCTAAAAAAATCAAGAACACAGATAAAATAAACAAATAATTTATAGACCTCCAACAAAAGGTTGTTTTCTACCTTTCCCAAATAAGGATAAAACAACCAAGAAACCTTTCTGGTGGCTAGGCCACTCCCTTCAAGCTCCAATGTTTGCCTAACATTGCTTTTTCCAAAATGGGTCTCATATGGTTCAAGTGTCAGCACCTAAAAAAGTGACAGCAAAAGAGGGAGGGAGTTAAGATCAAATTCTCATACAGGCAAGTACATTCAGCATTCTACAATGAGCAAATACCTTTCTGCTGTCTTCTTTTTCTGAACTGCTTTTAACATAATAATCTGCCAGCATTCGTTTAGACACAATTAGAGCAGCTTCCCTGTTTAAGAATGAGTAATCAAATACAGGTGAACAAGAATGAGACTTGATAATCTAAAAAGAAAAAAAGGCATAGTGGTGCTTACAAAAAGATGCACCATAATTATAATTTATAAACAAGAGTCTAGGTGCATCTACATTACTAAGATGTAAGGACTCTCAAAAAGTCAATTCCCTTGGTCTGAATTATGATGGACCCATTTTGTTGGTTTGAAGCTATATATGTACATTCCTTTATCGACAAAACATATAGTTATACCAACACATCCATGAAGGAGGAAGGAAGAAATTAAAATTCCAAGGTATTAGTTCAGTAGGTAGTTGTTTAACTAAGAACTACTAAAGCACGAATGACAAAGCATATATAGGAAACCAGTTGGGTAAAAACAATTGGGATAACTGGGAACGTAAACAAATATTGTTTTAAGACATAAAACAACAATGTAGGGACTACAAAGACGCACCATCCAACTTAATTTCCCATAACTTGCATAGACCACACTATGCTTATCAATTGAAAATATTGATATAAAATACATTAAAACTAGAAAAGATGTACAATTAATTGTTGCTAAAGATAAGGTAGTAGTAACAATTACAAGAATTGGAGGCAGAACATAATCATGTTAATTAAACTTGTAATGGGAGAAATTATAATTAATGTGATTAGCACCTATGAATCCCAAATAGAATTGGAGGAACAAATTAAAAACACAATTTTGGGATTAACTGGATGAGTTAATGCAACAAATATCTATTTTATTTTATAGGAAACAAAAATAATTATGTGGATATTTCGACGGTTATGTAGAAAAAGATAAGTAAGGAACAAGAGAATACATAGTGGATATGATTTTGGGAACCGAAAACAGGGCCACAGACTTACATTTCTCAGTAACATTTGATCTTATAGTAAACAATACCTTCATTAAAAAGAGAAGGGGAGAGAGAGAGAGAGAGATTTCAATAACTTTTAAAAATATGTTAAATAAGAGTCAAATAGATTATTTTCTGGTAAGAAAAACATGTTACTTAATATGTAAAATTACAAGTGTATCCCCGAAAGAGAGTTCAACATCACAAGATAAGCATACATAAAGGAAAACTCTACCCATACATAGCAGTAATATGATCGTCGTAAATAGAAATGTTAGAGGAAGGAGAAGAGCTAAATTGACATGGATTGTGGTAGTAAGAAATTATATGAATTATTTAATTAATTGAACATATAACTCTTGACAGAGCAAAATGGCTAAAAGAATCATGTGGCCAACGCTATTTGATGAGGACAGAAGCCCTATTTTGGTTTGGTTTGGTTTGGTTCAATTATCCATAGTAGGTGCATCAAGTCCAATTGACTCTCATACTGTTAGTAAATTTATATTTTGACACAATAAATTGAGTGAGGCCTTCATAGACCGAAAACCTCTCAGCCATTGAATGAATTATGAACCACCAAAAAACTAGTCAAACGAAGCATCTCTCACTATGACAGACAACAAACCATCCTACTACCAAACTCCTAAGGATTCACTGTAAAGAAACAAACCCAAAAAAAAAAATTATAGATTGTGCCACATAATGTGAAAGAAAATAAACCTTTTCCACAAAATAAAGATTGACAAAAATGGGGAAGAGGAGTAGGAGCAAGAGGAAAAAATAAAATGTACACCAACCATTGAATGGAGGGAGAAATGAAAACTGGATTTCAATCTAAAATCAATGTTAGTTATAATTTTAACAATTATCATTAATAATTACTATTAGTAAATACTACTCCCTCTGCCCCATTTTGTTAGTCCATAATTCCATTTTTGGACGTCCCAACCACAATGCGCATGTCCACTTTTGAAAAGTCAATGCACAAAAGTTTTATGTTGCCAAAGAATATATTTAAAGTAAGAAATAAAGGGGCAACGATGGGAATCAACACCTTTGAATTTGAATTTGAATTTGAGCATATTAATTGATTTTGTGTTGGGACAAGGGGAGCATATCTATTCTAATATATAAAGTGAATGCTGCTATTGGTGTTGACATTTTTTGTCTCATATTTTGAATTTTTCCAAAACACCCCTATATTTGGAGTTATATTTGGAGTTTTTGTAAGAATTATGCAAAAAAGAGGATGAGCCTCGAACCCATAACCTTGGATTTTATAATGAAAGTCCTTCCCACTTGAGCAACCTACATTATATATGTTTTTTTTTTTTTTTTTGAATTGCACATGCAAATGCGTGTAGTTAACAATTTATTGTAGCATAAAAAAGGATGTATTATATCAAATTTATCATTATCCAGAAGGTAGGTTTCCAATTTTAACAACCTCAACACAAATCAACCATGAACAAATTTATTGAGTAAAAGTAAAGGCAACTGAAACTTGTATGTGATATAAAGAAAGAGTAACTACTACTAAAACTCACCATCCATCCCAAACAAAATTGATCTCCTTGGTTTCATACCGAAAGCCGTCATTGTCGCTATAAGGACCGTATTGATCTCCTTGGTTTCATACCGAAAGCCATCATTGTCGCTATAAGGACCGTAATGAAGTCCCGCAATTTCAAATTCAGTCGAATCCGAGTCAATGTTATTAATTCAGCCCACAAAGCATAATAATAAGCATGAATTCCTATGGAAAAATTAAACAAAAAGCCAATAAATAAAAAAAAAAAACATAATGATATGAAGAGAAGTGCAGATAAAGCTTACTCTGAGTTGCAAAAATCACCCCTCCAGTTCTCACTTTCAAGTGTATTGCTCTCACCTTCGCTACCAGAAACAAGAGAAGAACTACTATTAATCAAGGTGTTTTCCTCCATCACTGCCTTGTTTTTCAATCTTCGATTGGATTGGACCTCTTTTATTTCTCCCTACTCGTGATATTCCTCGTCTCTGAGACACCACACCACCACACAGCCAAACCATTACATCGTGAAAAAACAATTAAAATCAAAAAACTGATTGTATTCCCATCAAATAACAAAACAATCAATCAAAACATAATTATAAATAACATTCAGAATGATGTGAGAAAGAACAATAATGTTAGACCCAAAAATTCTACCAAAATTTTACCAAGGTGTGTGAGAGCTGGGTCGCACACTTATGTTTTGGTCAAAATTTTAGTCGAATTTTTGAAAACTCTAACATTAATCGAGAAATAAAACTTGGCATCGCAAACATCAGTATTCTGACCCAACGAACTAAACATTGCTAGCCCAACCCTGGTGAAGAGAAACCCTCTACTCTACTCTAAGGTTCGCCTATTGAGTCCCCAATTCTTCTGATTGTTTTGTTCACAACAAATATCGAAGCTGTACCGCCTTAAACATGCAGTGTGCGTTTGGTTAAATTTTTTAATCAATTTTTCAAAATCCAAAACCTATTTGGCTTCCGATTTTTAAAAACTCATTTTAAAATCTAAAATCTCACTAGAGAGTTAAGCTTCGTTTGGAAAGTGAGTTGACTTTTTAATTTTTTGATTTTTTTAATTATTTTAGCCTTAAATTAAAAAGTCTAATTTGAGAAGGACTTTTGATTTTTTTGACTTTTTGTAAGAGAAAAAATGTAATGATTATGGATTGGATGTGATATTTTGTCTTATTAGACTAAAAAACCTATTTTATTTTTTATGGCTATTTTAGCCAAAAAAAAAAAACCCTCAATAACCACTTCCCAAACATAGGCTTATAGGGTATATTTGGCTTGGCTTTGTAGAGTGATTTTAGGAAAAAAAAAATTTAAAACTTGTTTAGTTTGTAATTTTTCCAAAACAATTTTCAAAATTACTTTTTCTCTCTTACACATCAATCAATCACTTTTTCTCTCTCCTCTCTCCTCTCTGCTCTCTCTTTCTCAATCACTTTTTTCCTCACATATATCTACTCAATTACAACAAAATATCAAATCATTCAAAACTCCCAAATTTCAAAACTACTTTCAAAATATACAACCAAACAAACCAAAACAATTTCTAAAGTCTCTCCCCAAAACAATTTTTAAAAAATACTCTCTCAAAACCAAACCAAACATACCCATAAATCCCATGTATTTGTCATCCAATAAATTTTATAATAATTAATAATATTTTTTATCAAATATTATTAAAAAATATCATTAATAGTTAATTTTTAATGACAATTTAAAAATTTTATCATAAAAAATATGAATAATTATAAATTTTAATGACAGTTTAAAAAAATCATCACAAAAAAATGTTACTAATTTTAATTTTTAGAGATAGTTTGAAATTTTTGTCATCGAAAAATATTACTAATTGTAAGTTTTAGCAATAATTTATAAAATTCGTGACAAAAAAAAGTTGCTAATTATCAATTTTTAGCGACAAATGCAAAAAATGTTACAAAAAATTATTTTTAGCGATGATTTTACTAGAACTTAATTTTAATAGGACTTGATGAGAATTAAATCTAACTATTAGGACCTATTGATGATTTAATTTTTTTAATTTAATTTTTGTAAAAATTAAGGTAGTGTTTGGTAGAATTTTAGAATTATGATTTGAGAATAAAATTGTATTTTGAGTTTGTGAGTTTTGGAATTACGATTTGAGTGTGGAAAATTTGTTTAATTATGAGTTTTGAAAAGAGTTTTAAATTGAGTTTGAATTGGGTGATGTGACATATGATATTTGATACAAAAACTTACAACTCATAACCAAACACACAACCCAAAATTTTATTCAAAACTCATAAAAAAAATTTTAAAAATTCACAAATATTTTTTTTAATATAAAAATAACATGCAAAAAAAAATAAATAAATAAAAATAACACCGAACACTATTCCGGTCAACCGGCTGGACGATCGATGAGACGTCCGGTAGGACGACCGGTTAGCCCAAATTTTTTGCTTAGAAAGAGTTTTCGAAAGTGAGTGTAGAATTAATTTTTGAAAACGCTAAACAAACACCACACTCAAAAGTGAGTGTGAAACTATATTTTGAAAGCTCCACCAAACAGCAGTTTTTTTTGTATTTTTTTATTTTTAATAATTTTTTTTAATATTTTAAGTAATTTTTTTACTTTTTAATGCATCTAAATAAACTTAAAAGTAAAATATTTATAAAAAATAATTTTCAAACAATTAATAAATATATAAGAATAAGAAAATATATTGAATTTTTGTGTTTTTTATATTTTTGGTATTTAATGAAATTTTTTTTAAACAAAATTCATAAATGTTATACTTTTTAATTGTGTATCTAAAAAGTATATAAAAAAATACTTAAAATATTTTTAAAAAATTCACTAAAAATAAAAAAAAATGTGAAAAATAAAAAATTTAATTTTTCAAAAAATTTAATTCAGAAAGTTAGAATCAAAAGGTTTTTCAAAACTCATTCCAAAACCCAAAATCTATTTGGCTTAAGATTTTCACAAAATTGATTTGTTTGGTTTTCAAGTATTGGCCAAATAATTTTTTGTGCTTTAGATCTATATGATCTAGATAGACTTAAACAGTAAATAAAAGGGAAAATTACTGAAACATCCCTCTCCAACTTTGTATAGTAAGAGAGGTCCAACTTTGTGTAATAAAAAAGGTCCAGGATTTTGTTTGGTTTTCAAGTATTGGCCAAATAATTTTTTATGTTTTAGATCCATAGGATCTAGATAGACCTAAACAGTAAATAAAAGGGAAATTCACTGAAACATCCCTCTCCAACTTTGTGTAATAAAAGAGGTCCAAGATTTTATTTTTTCTTATTAACTAAGGTTTCTCAACATTTTCAAAAAAAAAAATTCAACTGAAAGAAATTTTACCTAACTTAGAGAAATTTTGGCCCGACTCAAAAAAATTTTAAAATTTCTTTGGTATGATCTTAGAGAAATTTTGAAATTTCTTTGTAAAATCAAAGAAATTTCTCTGTAAAAATTGAAAATTCTCTAAGTCGGGGTGAAATTTCTCTGAGTCGGACAAAATTTCTCTGGGTCGAATTTTCTTTGTAGAAACGTTAAAGGATCTTAACTACTATGAAAATATTTTATGTCATTTACTTATAAAATCTTAATATGAAGGACTTTAACTAAATAAAATGTAAAGAACTCAAAAAAAAAATTAATAAATCTATAAAACATTAATACTATATTAATTTTTAAATTGCGTCATTTTTTTTTTGTATATTATTCTCTAAGTCGGGGTGAAATTTCTCTGAGTCGGACAAAATTTCTCTGGGTCGAATTTTCTTTGTAGAAACGTTAAAGGATCTTAACTACTATGAAAATATTTTATGTCATTTACTTATAAAATCTTAATATGAAGGACTTTAACTAAATAAAATGTGAAGAACTCAAAAAAAAATTAATAAATCTATAAAACATTAATACTATATTAATTTTTAAATTGTGTCATTTTTTTTTTGTATATTTCTCATTATTCAGTAATTTTATAAAAAATTTATATTTAAGTGTGAAACGTTTTAAATGTGTGTAGATTGAGTGGATATAAAATCAGAAAAGAAGTGTTAAAAATTTTAAAACATTCATAAAAAATAAAAAATATGGTGTGAAACTTTGCCCTATAAATTAAATTAGATACTTCTAAAACATAAATTTAGATTAGGTATATAAAAATAAAAAATAAAAAAAAAGTAAACAAATTTGACTATAATATTGCCAAAAAAAAAAATTGACTACAAGATAAAAAAGAAAACACCCAAACAAAAAACTCAAAAATTAGTTTTGAAAACTCATAACCAAACAAGCTTTGAATTTTCAAAAGTCTTTTCACAAAATTATCTTTCAAAATTAAATCAAACGTAGTCATAAATGCTAATGTGGTATGTTGGAGAAGTTATTAGTTGGTCTTGGGGTAACGCCACGTATTGTTCCAACGGTATTGTGATTAGTAAAAGAGGTAGGGGCCAACGAATTTGTGTTGGATGATTGGGAAACATGAGAGAGTATGGTAAATTGTAATTGGTGAGGGATACAACTATGTATCGCCCTAGACCAACCAATAATTTTTCAATATGTCGGGCTTTTAAGCCCCAAAACTCCACAATCTCGGATGCCCAGCCTTTAAGACTGCCTAATAAATAAAATAAAATAAATTACACTAATTTTCCTTAAAATTTAAAAAACAGGGTAAATTTTACTTTACCTCCCTGTGATTTTGATTTAGGTCATGTGCAATTTATTTCCTAACATTTAGAAATGATCATATAACCCTCTTTATGGCTTGTAGACTGAAGTGCACCATTAGGCCCATTAACGATTTAATTAAAAAGACTAAGGGTTTGTTTGGTTTGTTTTTGTTTTTGGGAGAGTTGTTTTTGAAAAAAATTTGGAGAGTTGTTTTAGAATTTTTTTTGGTTTGTTTGGTTATATATTTTGAAAGTAGTTTTGGAGTTTGGGAGTTTGGGATGATTTGATATTTTGTTGTAATTGAGTAGATGTGTGAGAGAAAAAAAATGATTGAGAATGAGAGAGGAGAGAGAAAAAGTGATTCATTGATGTGTAAGTGAGAAAAAGTGATTTTGGAAATTTTTTGAGAAAAATCTCAAACCAAACAATTTTTTGAATTTTTTTTTCTAAAACTCATCTCTAAAACTCAAACCAAACATACCCTAAAGTACCCCCGTATTTCGTCATTAAAGTGCACCCCTTGTGTTTTATTTCATATGCGATTTACCTCCTTGAAATTTAAAAATGGGCATATAACCCCCTTATCTTTGCTACGAATTTCACATTTGCTGTTAAGTTGGACAGAATGTTTAATAGTGCACTTCAGTCTACAAACCATGTGAGGGTTACATAGTCATTTTCAAATATTTGAAGGTAAACCGCACATGACTCAAACCACAAAAAGCAAAGTGCAATTTGTCCTAAAAAATACAATTAATTATAGAGAAAATTCTTCATAAATCCATATTCCTACCCCTATAACAAAAAGCCCATTAACAGATTTTGTTACATAAATACCACTTATCTGTTGAAATTTTTGTATTTAACCTATTTGTTCAAAATTTTATTTTATCTGTTTGATTTTTTGAATCAATTTGTTCAAATTTTTATATATATGTCAAAATTATTTTAATATTTTTTATCTATCTATTTAAATTATTTTAATATTTTTAATTAATCTATTGAACCTATCTGTTCAAATTTTTATTTTATCTATTCACTTTTTTGAACTTGTCTATCAAATTATTTTAAAAAATTTGTTCAAATTTTTATTTTATCTGTTGGATTTTTGAACCTATCTATCCAAATTATTTTAACCTATCTGTCATAATATTTTTTTATTTATCTATACTGGTATTTTTTTTATCTGTACAAATTCAATCTATTATGTACAGATAGAGTCACTCTCTCTATATCCCTCTTCACAAACCTATTTATTGATTTTTTGGTCTGCTTATAAATTTCTTCATATATATATAGAGAGAGAGAGATGGCAGATGGAGAAGAAGAAAGAGAAGGCAGTGGAGAAAGAAAAGGAAATATGGAATTGGAAGAAGGAAGCCCTAATTGAGGAAGTGTCTGAGAAGCTCATCAATGACTTTTTCTTCTTTTTTTCTTTTTTATTTCTTGCAAAAAAGACTAACCCATCATCCACGGCGCAAGTTAGCTTCTACACTAAGACCTTACGCCGATCTAATCCACTCTCTCAAATCATGACAAACCTAGGTAGCGTTTGGTAGAGTTTTGTAAATGTGATTTGAGAGTATGAGTTGTATTTTGAGTTTGTGTGTTGTGAAATTATGATTTGAGTGTAGAAAAGTTGTTTGGTTATGGTTTTTAAATAGAGTGTTGAAATGTGTTTCGAAGATGTATTTTGAATTAAGTTTTGAAAGTTTGATGTAACATGTGAAATAAGAAAATTTGTTTGGTGATGTGTTTTCAAAATAGTTTTCAAAACTTAATTCAATCAATAATTTATAATCAAACACACAACTCATATATCGATATCCGTATCTTTTATCAACAATAATAACCAAACTATTTTTAAAATATTGAAATTAAAAATTGATTTTTTTTCAATTAATTTTTTTTCAGTAATTTTTGTTGAATAATTTTTTTTAAAATTATTTTTTCATTTTAAAATAAATCTATGTCAATTATTTTGTGTCAATTAATTTTTCTATCAATTCATTTTTTACGCTTGTACAAACATCTTGTACAATACGTTTTTTTATTTTTTTTTAAAATTTTGTTAAAGTCAACAACTTTTGAGAATACATATTAATAAAAATTAACATAAATACACTAAGTTTAATATGTTAAAATAAAAATCATACCGTAAACCTTACAAAACATTATCAATTTTTTTTCTCATTTATTACACGTTATTAATTTACTAATAAAGGAGTAACAGATTGACCATGCATTATTGTACTTCCACGATCCGCATGCTCATACAATTGGGGTGAATTGGCCTGCAAAATTACTATTTTGTCCCTCTTCATTTAAATGGGAAGTTGTTACATAAGAACAAAATTAAAAGGGTAATTTAGTAACTTCACTTATCTACTACCTATACATCATAGCTGTGTGTTCAATACTGAGCCAAAGAAAAAGGGACACGATGTATATCATAGTTGTGTATATCATAGCTGTGTGTTCAGTATACAGATGTACTATTATTAAAAAATTATTAATATTATAAAAAAATAATAGATAAGAAATAAAAAGTAAAAAAAAAATTAAAAAACAAGCTGAACCTTCTGAACCTCAGCCTTCCTATAAAATCTGAATTCTCATTCCTTTAACCACACCATCGTCACCATCTCAGCTCCATCAAGAACATTAATTAAATTCAGTGTATCTGTGTGAAAGAAGATTTCAATTACAGGTTAGTTTCATTCCAGTTCATATTAGCTTCACATCTCATATTTTATTCAGAGTAGCTTCAGATAGTCGAAGAGTCAGAGGACAGAATGTCCGACAAGGACAACCGGCCGGTCATCCCATCTCACACCAATTATCTATTGCCGATCAGTTTTCTATCTGTTTCCGATCTGTTCCTGTTTTTCATATCTGTTCCATTTTTTTACACCAACATCATACAAATACATTTTTCTTAACTCATATGTTTTAATATATATTTTTCATACATTTTTCTTTCACTGTTGCAGTCATCATGCCAAGAACAAAACGAACCAGACCCAAACGTGGTGAATCCTCAAACCCTATACAACATTAACCACAGCAACAACATCATGACAATCCAAATAATGATTTTTTAACGTATCATCATGAACAAGCCTATTCACATTTTATTAATCGACCAATTGTTACGGGGAGAAATGTAAGACTACCTTCTCAATATGATCCGCTCTTAGTTGGTAAATTAGATACAATGGGATGGTTACCTTTAACTAATTTACCAAATAAGGTATACCCCAGTCTTGTACGATTATTTTATGTTCACTTGACAGCTGGTGACCAACAAAATGAACCGTTCAGTCTGACCTCCTATGTAAAGGGAAAAAATATCACACTCAGTCTCCGTGCTTTCGCACAAATTATTGGACTTGAAACAAGAGATTTACAATGCTATTTTCAAAATGAGTCTACCTTAGAAAAAATGTTTGGTGATGTCACTCAGATTTATACCACAATTTGTGACAACCGATTCAGCGGCACTAATTTACTAGCCAGACATTTAAAACCCCACCTTCGTATTCTTCATCGATGGATAGTTAAAAATGTCACTCCAAAAAAAGGCCATTATGATATTGTTTCATGTTTTAATGTTTATTTGTTATATTGTTTTGAAATTGGACAAAAATTAGATTTATGCTTCATATCACTCAAAGAAATGATGATTGCAAAACTCGATACTCTGTCTGGCCGGTCACTACCTTTTGGAGCTTTGTTAACCATAATTTTCAAAGTGCATGATGTCAACCTTGAAGGTGAAGGATATGTCAAAATCACTTCACCAATTTCTGAGTACACACTGACCCGAGGTGGTGGTGCTGACACCTTGATAGGCTCTATTAATATTGAAAATGAACCAATACCTGATAAGGAAGAACCCAATGACAATGCCATGCCACCAAATGAACAACCCCATTACTGGACTGATTATTTAGCCTTGGAACAAGAACGGTACAATCAGTGCCTACAATGGGAACAACAAATGGCTAATCAGCTCAATACATTGGGTACTCGGTTCGATGAATTTGCCGTCACTCAGAACTCACTAATTCAACAATTTAGTGAGTTTCGTGTAGACTCAGGGAGACATGATGAAGTGACAAGGAACCGCATTGATTAGATCGACCATCGAGTCACTCAGCTGTACCATCACTATTACCCTCCACCTCCAACACCACCTGACAATGATGCTTAACTTGTTCAAAAATCAGTTTAAATGGTGAAACAGATGTAGTGGTTACATGTTTTTTTTTTCAGTTTTTTTTTTTTGGTTATTTGTTTTCTTATTTTGTTGTGCTTGTTTTATTTTGTTAATTTGTTTTGAACTTCTGTATTCACGTCATGAATAACAAATAGTGTTTTTTTTTTGAAGCATTCTAAAACAAGTTACAATGTTATAACAATATGTACGAAAAGATTTTGCATTGGAAAAATTATTTGTACAAAAATTAATAAATAGAACTTAATAAATATCTAACAAATCCTTCATTTCAATAAAATGAATAAAAATTAAACAATTAAAAAATAATTTGTCTGTATCAATTAATACAAAAAATTAAATTAATGTTCTAAAATGAAATAAAACAAGTTAGAAATTAATAATAAACATTCTTTTTTTTTTTAATGAAAAGTTAAAAAAAAGTTAATATGAACAAAAATTTAAAAAAAAATAAGGTGTAAAAAGAAAAAAAAAATTAAATTGATAAACCGAATTTATAACAAAACCTTCAAATTGTTTACAATTTAACAAAAAGTCAAAAACACGGATATGTCATGTACAAATATTTTTTCACAAAATTTAAAATAGTAAATTGTAATTATTTTATTAATTTAAGTCATTATGACACCTTTATTACATTACTTCACCCACCACCCAAGACCCACCACCACCCACCTGCCATCCACCACCCACCACCCACCCACCCTACATTTACATTCACATTTTGTTCCGGCTGTACCGGAGGAGGAGGTGGAGGCTGTTGATTCAGTTGTTGGTCCAGCCTTGCAGTTATCAGTTCCATCATTTGTTCTAGTCTGGCCATTCTGGCCTCAGAGGATGAGGTTCCAGTTTCATTTGCAGTGTTTGCATTATCCATTACTATAAGCAGTTATAACAGTTTTAAACATAAGCAGTCATTTGTTTAACAGTTTAACATGATTCAGTCATAACATAACCACACACTTATCACGCTCATGTGATGCCCTATTACTTTCTAGGACACCCTATAGCTCATTTGGACACGTGTGTGCGGTATAACTCGTGGTAAGTATCGCTCTGATACCACTCTGTCACGACCCAAACCCGGCCCTATGGGTTTAGCACCGTAACCGGCCAGTAATCCGAGATTACCGAAGGCCTACTTAACAGTAGTACAGTAAAACAGAGTTTAGGGCCCGGCGGAAGCCAATACAGTAAATAAACAATGCCCAATGAGCTGTGACAGTCTGCATGCAAAAAGACTTCTCATGCATTTATACATAAACAGTACAGAACAGTATACACAATATGTACAATCATTCAGACTAGGGACTCGATCCCTGCATAACAGTACAGTAAACATTCAGTCTATACAGAACAGTAAGATAGTACAGAAGGGGGATTTGTAAAACACCCCTAAGCCTTAACACGATAGGCTCGGAACCTCGCAGTGAGGCACATAGGCTGGCTTGACAAAACTGGAGTCTAACCCACGCTCCTAGCCGCGGTCCATAGCTTTGCGGTCTGGTGCCTGGACACCTACATATATATATGAGCAGTGAACTAAGCCCAGTGAATAACATAATGCGTAAAGGGGTTAAGAATGAATGTCCTTACAGTAATAAAAACAGTTCATTAAATCAGTATTTCAGTCGTTCAGTCAGTACAGTCGTATGTGGTACATCCATTAGCATAACAGTACAGTAAACAGTAGGTCTTAAAAGACCAAGCAGTAAATGATGGCCATCAGTCAGTAACAGTAGTGGTTCCAACGAGGGAACCGACAGAGATCTCTGTAATAGTAACAGTAAACAGTAGGTGTTAAGGATGCCACAATACAGTTCAGAATATAGGACATACATCCATTCAATTAACAATATTCAATTCAGAAATAATACAGTTCAGTTGTTTAGAAAATAATCATTTTTGAACATATCTTTACACAATCGTTACTTACAGAGTTTGGGCTACAGTAAGCTAGAGTATGCCTCCCCAATCGCCAACCCTACACAGTTAACAGATTGAACACACTAAACTACACAGCTGGGAAAGATAATAACTTAACCCCTAATGCCTCGGGTGTGTTCTACATCTATATCCTCAATAAGATGTCTTAAACTAGGCCTAAGAATGCCTAGAATGGGATGAGGATGCAAAGATGCACTTTTAAAAGCATTTTCAGAATTTTCAGAAAACAGAGTTCCGCTCGAGCGCAGGTTTCCCCGCTCGAGCAGACATGCAACAAAGGTACACGCTCGAGCGTACAAATCTTCCGCTCGAGCGTACTGTAAAAGTACTGGATGGGTGAAATCTCCGCTCGACGCCCGCTCGAGCTTGAGACACACGACTCCGCTCGAGCGCCCAATCCTCCGCGTCTGTTTCTTTCTGCTCAGTGATGGTTTGTGGAATTGATTACTGGGAATGTAAGAAAACTAAAGAAATGACCTTGAATGCCCTAGAAGTCGAACAGTTGCCTCCCCTCTCAATATCATACCTTTAAAATGAAGCTAGTAACTCCAGCCAAATCCTCGGTGGTATCCTGGGTACCTACAAAAACGCATTGGGAATGATCAGTGTCCTAGAAGGAACAAATATCAGAAAGAGATGGGGAAAACTAAAAAAATTGTGGTACATACCGGGGGTGATCATGAGCTCTGACATAATCTAA